TTTCATAAAATGTAATTCAATATTAATTTTAGTACATTCGTAGGTGATGATTTCTACAGGGTAAGAAGTGGATGTAGGCATAGGTGGTCCACTGCATCTGTGACTTGGTTTAAGTGGTCCATAGAACTTTGAGAGCCACTGATCTAAAGAGATTAAGCTAGCAGCTGTTAGCTTGTGAACATCATATGACTGAATCAAAAGCCCAGTGGTCTTGTTTTACATTGGGGAAATAGGGAATCAGACTTCTTACAATGCATTGGCATTGCAGTTTTGGTGTTATAGGTTCAGCAAAAGTATACACTTTCTACTTTTTGGTCTTACTGGGAACTAGAATTTGTGCTGGGAATCCTTGTGGAATATCCTCGGGGACTGTCCTATTTTCCTCAGTCTATAAAATTGAGCAGCCTGTGAGCAGTCCTGGTGTGCTCTCAGCTGTTATTCACATAGTAGTTCCAGTATACCTTGCAGTGAAGTGAGCAGCATGAGTTGTAAAACTCTGCCTTGTTTCCTAATTATCTTTTACCCCTGCTGAACTGTAATTCTCCATTAAAATATTATGTAGTCTGATAACCGCAGGGGGAAAATACATAGTAATTGTATGATACTCAGAAAAGCAGGGTTCTTTTCAGATTGTATTAATCAACAAACATGTATACAAATTTACATCCCAAAAAATCCCGAAGCACTTCACATACTGTAGAGGAGGGGATCCACTTCATCCACCAATGACGTGATGTATGACAAACAGCAGCCCCAATACACAGTATGGAGAAGTGAGAAATTGCTTCACCAGCTGAACTAAGGCAGGAATTTAGGGTGGAAAGGCTCTGCAAGCTCAAGCTGGAATTTAGCCAGGTAAACACCCCTCTAGTTTTACAAACAGTGACATAGAATCATTAATTATCAAGCAGTCAGTTCTCTGTTTAAAGTCTCACTGTAGTAAAACATTTATTTCATCATCCATTATCAGAAAGGTACTTGTACCAAATCGGGTCACATCTACCCTGAGTCTATGCTGTAATTATAGGATGCAAGGTGTTACTGACACCACATCACTGCTGTTGTCCTGAGAACCAGTCCACCTCAGGGACCAGGATAAAGGGATAATTTTCCAATTAAAAGAACCAATCAAACCTATGTACTTAGAATGTAAATGTACTTATATTAAATATGCTATATTAGTACTTTTTATACTTATTTGTACATATATTTTGCGATTGTTATGTTTTGTTTTGGCAGTAAAATGAGACCTCTTTCTCTATCAGTACGTATTGTTTTGTGTACCTTATAATCTGAATTACAAAACATCTTTTTGGCAAGTCAAACCCAGTCATATATATGATTAAAACATGACTACAAGTACAAACCTAAAACAGTATCTTTAATGATAAAACAAATCTGTGCAAATATATTACAAAAAAACAGAACAGCAAGGCAAAGCATAAGCAGTTATTGATGGGCGGTCCTTGAAATATGAGTGTGTAGACCGAGGTAGTAAAATTGGGGCAATCTCAACCTTATTAAAGACATGGCTTCAATTTCTAATTATATACAGGACTAATTAATGCCCTCTTTTGAAATGATGAGCAAGAGAAGAAAAGAGGCCCATTTGTAAATTTCAATGTGACAGCTAAATCGGTCATGATGCTGTCCAGAGAGAATAAACTGGCGTTCTATCCTTTCATTCCCCCTCAATAATCTCCTGAGTTCAACGTAAGCTGTCACTGCTCAGAAGGCAGGCTGAGAGTTCTTTAAAGCAACTACTAAGAAGTAATTGTTCTAGTCATCCAAGGATTTGTTTTGTCCACATAAACACAAAGCAAGGAATTTCCCAAAAATATTTCTGTACCCACTTCTCCAAGTGTCTGCACGTATGCATTGTGCAGTCGAAAAGTTGAAGGAAGTGTTTTGCACCAAGGCTTGCTTAATTGACACTAAACCCATAGGTGAAAGTGCAAAACTGCCTGTACTATAACTACTATAACATTTAGAATGACCTAGGAGTTACAAGCAATTTTGTTTACATATTAATTAGCAAAGGCCTGTCACTGTACTGCATATAACAAAGAATATTTACTGCAGTAGCAATACAATACCAACAGTCATCTTCTGCCATAGAAGCTGGCATATCTGATAGTTCTGTGAATGATAACTTACAAGCTTAAACATTGTAATCTGTTTGGCTGTAGTTTTCTTTTTAATGTTTCTCAAAGATCTTTAGTCTGCTCTCAAGAACATATATGTTCCCCAAATGTTTTGTAATAATTACATCTCCGTATACTTTAAAGACTCCATTTCACTTACAGTATGTGAGTAAATCTTGCATTTAGAATTTCCTGCTGTATGAGGTTATTTTATTACTTTCAAAGAGACACTATTTACTCAGAGGAAGGGAGATCAGCACATTATAAATGTATTTTTGTGAGACACATCTTTAGCTATTTTTGTACCCTTTTTCCTGTGTATGTTCTTTCTCTAATATAGCATACTGTATGCACTTGTCTGCCTTGCCTATTGTGTGTGGGAAGGAGTGATGTGAATAGATCTTACATTAGTTGGTAGAATCCCTAGAAATGAAATCAATAGCACCATCGACTGGTTCTGTTTCAATTAGTGTATACTAATGAAGTTTATCAGCTTCAATATATTCTAGAGTCAAATACAATAATGCAAGCTGACAGTTTTGATTAGAACAAAATTATTTTAGTATACAAATACAGTGTATATGCTTCTGAGCAGACTCCTTAGATGTTGGGTATTATTCTATTCTTTTCACTTACTAGTTTTCTCTTCATGCAGAAACACATTTCTCTGCTGATCTTGTACCTTTATGTAAGTTAGTTAACGGGTAATTCTGATAGATATTCTGATTCTGTATTTCTCGTACAAAATATAACTTTTAAGGTTTACGGATATTAAGAGGAGGAACATTTGATATTAAGAAATATCTGATAATAGTCCATTAGATTTGATTGGTAAATGTAAAGAATGTATTACAATAAGATTTTTCATTGTCTGTTCATGTATAGTTGTCTTGAATTGTTATTAAGTTTTTGAAGATTCTTATCAATGTAATGTTTCTATTGCTAAATGCCTAGATTATTTTTATCGCACACAAACAATGCTGTGTTAAAAACAGTTACAGTTATCAGTAGAAAACACTACTGGAGGGCTTTGGTAAATTGTTTATGCTCATAAATGCTTATAACTCCGGATTTGTGCTGCTTTGTACACATTTAAAAAGATCTAATTTGCCTTTTTACAGTATGCTCAGTCCGCTTGGTAAGGTCACAGTTGGTGAGTTAAGTAAATCTATTAAAATATTTTTTTTTAACCTTACTAATGCATAGCTCATTCTCCCATTCCTGTGAGTTTTACAAGTAAAAGTCCTTACAAGTAAACTATTCATATATTTCCACTGCAAGAGTACTAGTAAACTAAAAACACTTGTATAGATTAATGTGCCTGTCAAGTACCAATTCCTACCTTTTAATTTAGAATATTTTTACGTGTTGCTTGTGAAGAATAATTGTAGAACTTGGAAAATAAAGAAGTTGGACGAAAATGTAGAGAAAAAAAAAACAAGTCACTGGACTTCACTGAAAGATGTTTTTGAAACAGTTTTCCCTGGGGCTCGTGAAGGGAAGTTTTGACATAGAATAAGCATCAGCCTGATGTCAGCATCTGAGTAGGGAGATGATCCACTGGGCATGCGTGTCTGGTACCTTGAGAGACGCTGCTGAACTTTGGACTTGTAAATATCACTGGGCACACTAGTGTATGCACAAGATGCACGTGGAAATGATGCCCGTGCCCCTGTTAACTCGGGTCCTGCCGAGAGCGACACACACACACACAATAATGCAAGGGGCATCCAGTAAGGTAAAACAGAGCTAAATCACAGAAACCTGAGAAGTGCTACCAGCAGAAATAGACTCATGCCCTGTAGATTTGTCTCCAGGAAGCAGATCCTCTGCCGATTTCCCCTGTGAGGGATGGCAGTGCAGTGGTTTGGCTTTGCATCACAAGGCGAGAGAGGGGCAGGCGAGTGAGGTATGAGAGGGGAGAAGCGGGAAGAAGCAAGGCAGTTGCTGCAGAGTGCGCACTGGGAGCCGGCAGCAGCGGAGATTATGCATTGCTCAGTGTGCACACGTCGACGGCGGAGCAGCGGTAGAGGGACCAGTGGCTTGGGACACTGAGGGACGGGTCTGGCTAATGAAGGCCACCTGGATCAGGCTTCTGAAAAGAGCCAAAGGGGGTCGTTTGAAGAACTCGGACATCTGTGTAAGCTGCCGATGGCATTGTTCAGAGCCTGTGTCTGCGCGCGCGTGTGTGTGTGTGGCAGAGGAGTTGCCTGTCATAGCTAAATTCAGATTAGCCTGGTGAAGCTTGTACTGAATGCTTTCAAGGTAAAGATGAAAGCTGTTTGTTCATTGTGTTTTAGGTCACTTCCCGACCTGGTCTTGTTGCCATTCATACTTGATTAATTGGTTGATCAGGGTGTAACAATGAGATATAAAAATAGCAAGGCATTTAAAAAAAAGATGGGAATCATAACGGTGAAACAGGAGGGCTGAAAAGTACATGCTTCCTTCATAGCAGGTACTGTTTTACAAGATATGAGGTAGAAAGCCATGTTAGAAATTAAATGGACAGGCTGATTAAGCTGGGACATGGGGTTATTTGTAACAGAGAAATGAGAGTGTGAACTCATGCACTTTAAATAGTCTTCGCAAGAGGAAACTGCAATGTTTCTTATGTAGGCGTACCTCTTACTGTTTTTGTTTTCAAAACCAGTGTTTTGCTTAAATTTGTTAATTATACGGTGTCGGTGAAAAACAAGCGATGGCTCTCGATGAATAAATTCAAAGAACGGATAGATCTCTTTGATTCATATTCATTTCCAAAAATGTCTGGTAGCATTCTGTGGGAGCCTGCAAGCTGTGACAGGCTCTCAGCGCTGGGGAAAGGTGTTTTACCTAACTGTTTTGTCCCTGCAGGGTTCGGCGGACTCCTACACAAGCCGTCCATCTGACTCGGATGTTTCATTGGAGGAAGACAGGGAGGCTGTACGGAGAGAGGCAGAGCGACAAGCCCAGGCACAGCTTGAGAAAGCAAAGGTACAGCCTGCAGGGTTCCTTCAGTGATCAGGCAGCCTCATGCGCACATAGGAACTGCCATACAAAATGTTGATGGTTTTACAGGAAAAATGTTGTGTCTTTAATTTTTTTACTTTTACCCATAACAACGGATTCCACGACATGCCATTTCAAACTGATAAATGGTTTACATGATTTTTACCTATTTTATTTTGAATCTGACTCAAAAGCCTCAGTTTCAGTGCTTGTTAGATTTTTAGTTGGGTACACTTGGAGTGAAAAAAAACAACTGTGATATGTCTTATGCAAGTACAGTACAATATTAAATTCATTTAAAATGGGGAAAAAAATGTATGTGAAAATAATTTATTAAAGCAATCTTATTATACGAAATGCATACATGGAGTCTATTTTCCCCAAAGCTAAAACACCGTAAATCTCCAATACTAGAACACTCTCACACTTGTGAAATACCATTTGGGCTGATAAGGTTCCATATTAAGAAAGTTTAATTGTCTTATAATTATATTATATTTTATTTACTCACTAAAATGTGGTTGTATTACAGGTTGTTATAGTCTGTGTTAATTATTTCAAATGAGGAAGTACTCTCACTGTGTTTTCATTTTAGATACTGGATGGATGGAATATAAATAGTATACTTATTTCACTGTGCACTTGATGTCTCTAAAACATTTTTATTTTATTTATTTTTTACAAAAGAAACAGACTCCTAACAGCATGGAGAGCCATGGTAGCATTTTAAGCATTTTGTATGACCTGTATAACAGAGATGTCTCAAAGGCTGTGACTTGGCTGTCTGTGGACATTCATCACAGACTGTATATAGCTGTGATAGCAGTGGTCCATGATATTTCTTTGTATGGAAAGCTTACAGTCCTTTCTACTATCTTCATACATACCGTTTTTTTTATTTTTGGTGGTTTGAATGGATAGAAATGTATGATGATAAACCATCTAAATGTCTTTAAAGTAACTACCTTTCATCCTATAGTTTAGTAAATTAAGAACAATAAATAAAGGTGGCATTAAGGGGGAACTGCATTCCCAATTTCTCAGACCGGTTATTAAATCTCGGTGACAAAATAAATTGACAGTATCGCAAAATTTTACAAATTCTAAATTATGTACAAAATTGTGAACTTTGTGAAGGTACTGTATGGTCTCCATTTTGTTGCAAACCACTGGTCTTGCCACGGGCGTGAGCGTAAGTTCACACAAATTGCGATGTGAAGTGGCCCTTCCTGCTCATTTGTCACCATAATGACTAATGTAATGCAATGTATGAGCTAATAACTACAGGTTGTGTAGCAGACATTTTACTGCAGAAATGTTCAAATATGATCTGCATGTGAAACATGTGAAAGTAAGTAGTATTTGTCGGAAAAACTGTCTCGAAATCGAGAGCAATATTTCTATTAGATTAAAACATCATAAGCCTGCTTGTTTCCAGTGTTATAGAGTCTTTTCACATCACCGGACGTTTTGTTGCCTCATTCTGCATCACAGAACATGGTACTTGCCCATTCCTGGAAAATATTTAGTGATGTAAATGGGAGGTTATACACATTACTTTGTATGTTTAACTTTCACTGTGGTTGGCAATGCACTCATCAATGCTGATTCTAACCCCAAAATATAAAAATAGCATTGCAGCTCCCCTTTAAAAGACAAGCAAAGGGCTGGACTTTGGCTTAAGCTGTTACTGCTTTTTCATTCCATTTGTTATTTTTACTTTATTTAGTTTAGATAAAGATGTTTTCTTTTGGGCACTAAAACAATGGAATTCCCCATTTGTCCAAATTTGGATTTTTAGGACCACCTTTCCAGTCTCATTACACTGCCTGCTCCTGCTGTCGTGCAGCTGGGCCTGAACAACAGTGTGGTTGAGAGAGGTTGCTATGGAAATTAGATGTTGGGGAAGGCATTGTGGTCAGATGTTATGTAATATTCATGACCTCTAGTACAGCTGCCTTGACATTTTACTGAGATTGAGGTAGTAGACTTTTCTACTTAAACTGACAGACCATTTCCTTACCGATAGACTTCATTTCCTTACTGACACTTAATGAAAGGGGCTCAGCACAGACACCTTCTGTGATGGGCAAACAGCCATGCAAAGAAGTCCAGATTGTGAGCAATTAGCAATTAAAGTTAACTAACTTAATAACTACAACATACTTTTAAAAAGTTAGTTTGCTTTAAATATGAACTTTACTCTTTATAAATAGGTGCACATAACTGTATCTCCACCAGTCATTGCATTAGAATAAAAAGCTTGGTTTTTAGCTTTTTTTGTTTTTTGTTGATGGCTGTCCATCGAGCTTTGTGTTCTTAGCTCCTCACTAATGTAAGTATACCACTAAATAGGGTAATAAACCTGCTTTCAAGTTCATAATGAGGTTAAACTTGCATAAACAACATTGTACTGTAACTAAAGATTTATTTTATTTAAACAGGAACATGAATGCCCTTTCCTTCCCTTTTTTGTGCATTAGAAGGGCCTGATAAGAAGCCCAACAGGCAACACACTTAAACATTTTAATACATTTTGCTTCTGCCATTTAGACAATTTTTTTTGTTTGTTTCTCTCAAATGCAATATTGAGCTTTTTATCACTTCACTTGTAAATGGAAACTTGTATTTAATATCTTGCCACTAAGTATAACAGAATAGCCGGAGTAGGTCAATGTGAAAAGTCAGGGGGTAAAGTGAGGTCTGTGTCTCACATTAACAGTGTATCATTTAGAGTAAACTGTTGACATTTAGCGTTATGTCAAAAAAAGAAGACAGGCCTTTCTAAAAGAATCAATCAGGGCCTGAAGAGAATTCTTAGCAATTTTGTTTTTCATAATCACTAGAAATTGAGAGCTACAGCTTCACTAGCTACAGTATCATTGCTATATGATATTCTGTGATGGAGATTTTAGCAGGAAAGGTTTTTGCTCAATGACTAATTATGAAGATTAGGATATTGAATATAACCTAGCATGGATTAGCCCCTCTTTTGTACATCATAAATAGGAGCTATAAAAATAGCTATATCTCTGGGGAGAGATTAAGATATACCTCTTTGACTAAAGTGGTCTCTGAGTGGTTATTTAAAATAGCTTGTTATAGTGTCAAAGATGCAATACAGTATATTATGAGTGGCGTGTTTTTCAAAACATTGACTTTTCAGACAAAATATGTTCTCTTGTAATCTTTGTAATTAACTTGATGCACTATTCTGCAATGAAATCTAATTGTATTAGAAATCCCTATTATTTATTTTTTAACTGCTGCTATGTTACATTCACAATAAAAAAGAAATGGAGAGGTCTAGTAAGATTATATTATTTATTTGAACAAATCTTTATTTTATAGGTATACAAGTTTAGTAGCCACTTTCAGAATGGATTCCTGCTTTGAAAGAATTATTAGCAAACTGGAAATTGAGCAGTTTATTTTGACAAAACTTTAGCTGATGTACTAATGAAGAAGGAAGAAAATCACATTCACTTACATCTTTTTAACTGTGGTTTGAGAATTTGCTAACACTTATTATTTTAACAAGAGTTTCTCCTCTAAGTTGATGCTTAGTAATATCGAAATAATATATGTTAATCATCTCATTATATGAAAAGGAAAATCATGTGACCCAGGAAAATACCCCTTTAGTTTTGCATTTGCATTATGCAGTATAAAGGATTCAAAGTAATTTGAAGCCTGAGGCACAGTATATCTACAGTATGTAGCAAAGGTGCTGTTAATGCTAGTGAGCAGGTCATCTACATGCAGTACCTTGCAAATTAATTCATCCTCCTGCAAAGTCTGCACATTTTCTTCTGTCTGAGCTTGCAATAATAACACTTTCAAATTGGTCTTTATATTTAGAATCTACACAACCCACTCTAAACTGATAAAGATGCAACAAGAAAATACTATGTAAATAAATTGAATTTGAAAGAAAAACAGAATATTCTCAATTATGTAAGTATTCAACCCCTTTACTATGGCAACCCAGAATCAGTTCAGGTCCAAAAAAATAGAGAGTCTTTATCATACACAAAGGACAATTTGTTTTACTTGAATACTGTGATAGGTATTCAAGTCTTATACACACTTTAATGTGTGTAATTAAAGTGGTTTAACTTTAATCTCAGAGTAAATGCATTTCTCCTGAGATATTCAAAATATTGAATTTCAAACCATAACTCAATTTGTGATATGAATAATCAGCTATGAAGACCAAGAGGTTTTGAATCAAATCAGGTAAGAAGTGGTAAAGAAGTACAGAGAAGACCATGAGCAAGAAGAGAATGTGCATCATACAAATCTGACAACTGGAAACTAGTTAGAGATGCCACTGTGAAGCCAACAACGACTTTGATATAAAACAATGTTCATACATTGACAAAAGCCTGTTCCCAACACAATGTAAAGATGATATATACTGAACCGTAGGTAATTATATATCTGTCAGTTGCAGAAAAGAAGCCTTAAATGAAAAAGACTTAAAGACTACAATCTAATTCAAGATATGCTGGTCTAAATGTAATGGGTTGCATCTGTTGCAAGCCCAACACAACATCATATGTTTGCTTCCCTTTCTAGGGACTGACAGGATTGAAGGAAAAATAGATGATGCAAAGTACAGGCAAATCCTAGAGGAAAACCTGCTTAAGTCACTCAGAAATCTAAAACTGGGTCAGAAACTCACACTTCAAAGAATCGGGTCTGAAGCACATGGCCTGAAGCACAAGACAAAGTCACACTGAAGTTATCTATTATTCTTGAGTGGCCCAGTCAAAGTCCTGACATGAATCTGACAGAAAAGTTAAGGCAAGTCTTGATTAATACAGTCCTTCAGTTATCCCCAATAAAGTCTGCCAATTTTACCAGTAATTGCTGCCAATTGTGCTTCTACCGTATACTGGCTTTGATGGATGTATACTGTATTTATTTATGCAATTAGTAATTTCAATTAATATTTCTTCTTTGGTGATTTGTTCATTTTT